AGTTAGAGGCAGATCTCTTGACTTCTAACAACTCTTTGCCAGCAATCCCATACAAGGTTGCAGGAAGAAAAATCCCAGCAGAAGGACAGGACCAAAGAAAAATTGTTGCTGTTTCTAAAAATGATATGCCCTTTAAGCAAGGGGAGCTATGTCATTGCCAGAACCAGAATTCTCAGCAGAAAGAATGGTGGCAGGAGGGACCTGCCCCCTGCCCTTAAGGACTTGAACCAAACCCAGAGACTCACAATAGGGGTGAAAAGTCTAAGGGGGACAGTATTCAGAAGCTTTGTTTCGCATAGCTCTAACTCTTGTGCTTTCTGGGTAAAGTGCAAGTGTGTGTGTGTGTGTGTGTGTGTTTGCAAAGCCTCAAAGGAACGTGTGTTCCTTGCTTTAATGTCATGTGGTCCCCAAAAAGTTAAACTATAATCCAGAGTGCCTGTGGGGCTAGACTGAGAGAATGCATAAACTACTGGGTTGGCTTGGGAAGTTCAGGATGGGTCTGAGGGTAGATAGAAGTTGGGATTTTGCAGTCTTTGTGCCAAGGAGGGGTGCCAGGCAGTGAATCAGCATCTCAGTGGTATGCCTGAGAGACCCAAGTTAAACACAACTTGGCAGCTGCTGCTCAGACAGTTATCTTGAAACTCTGGGGGATCCAAAGGTTGGGTCCAATACAGCAGAATGGTGACCATCTACTAGGAGGACTCAGCCAGGGAGAGGGCTGTAACATGCATCTCTTTCCATCCTTAAACAACTTTTACAATAATAGCCATTGCCTTGCTAACTAGATAGCCCTAGAAAGAACCTGCAGTACCTGTGAAGTCTCTTTATAAAAAACCCTCTAAAATCTGAATAATTAAGATTTAATCCTAGAATGAGCAAAGACTCTAATAAAAGTCCAAAGAGCGTATGTGATATAACATACTAGTAAAAAGTGCAACTGAAGTGCTTTTAAAATGTGTAAACCTTGCTTTCCTTGTTTTATGCTTGTGAAATACAATCTTCCTGATGTCTATCACAGAATGAAGGCACTGAACTTTTTGAACTTCCTTCAGATATTAGCCAGCTGGCTTGTGCTCCTAGAAAACATTTATCTGATTTTTTTTTTTCTTTTTTCTTTCTTTCTTTTTTTTTTTTTAACCACAGACTCTCACAATCGGTTGTATGAATAATAGAATATACTGTCATGGTGGGCACCTGATCATGGAAATGGATATCTGAAGTGCATTTTTATTTGTATTTAAAATGTTTTTACAACACAAATATAAACACTGTTAATCTCTGCAAGTTCTTGATCTAGTGAGAAGGTTTTGGCTAGTTATCATACTGAAGTCTTATTTTAACTAGTTACATTTGAAGGAATTTGTTTCAAAACAAAGTGAGAAAACACTTTGTCTACTGCTGTTTTAATTGGGTAAAGGTTTCACAGTGACTAGCCTTATGAAGAGGTTTACATGGAAAATTTGAAATAGTAATATTTTAGAAAATGTATGTATACTCTTTCATATAAGATGCCTTATTTTAATTTATAATATGCAGAATAGCATTCATGTCAGTAGTACTGACATGTCCTAATCAGTACAGTATGTTAAAAGCAAAGAAAATGAAAATAACATCTATTATTAGTAGGTCAGAGGTTTAAAGCCAATGCTGGTTCGTAGCAATTGAAAATGTTAATATATGACTGCCATTTAAAGGTTTAGTAGCCTATGTAATATGAGTAAGACGTTGTTCAAAGAGGGTGGTCCAGTAGGAACTATACTGTGGGCTTGTCTACACTACAAAACTAAGTCGACTTTATCTAATTTGACCTCGAGCCCCCTGAATTAATGAAGTTGATTGTGCGTGGCCACACCATGCTCATTGTCTCGATGCAGGCGCTGCTAGACGCACTCCATCGATGCACAAAGCAGTGCATCGTGGGTAGCTTTCCCAAAGGGCAACTTGCTGCAGTGTATTTTGGGAAGTTTGTGCAATGCCTCATGGGACCAAAACATTGTCGCAGGGGAGAATGGGAACATTGCGTTGGCATCCCATGATGCATTGTGCTCCCTCCCTCATATCAACAGCAAACAACCCACTGGCTTTTGCGCCTTAAAAGTGCTGTGCGTACACCATAACCCCAGAAGCATGGAGCCTACTCAGTTGTGCAGTCTTGCTGTGAGCATCTCAAACACCTCGTGCCTTCTCCTGCAGTATTTCCAGAGGCGAAGTAGGACCCGCTGCATGGAACATAGTGATGTCCTGCAAGCAGCCCTGCTGGAAGCCATTGAAAAAAATAATTCACAGTTGCTGCTGGCAGTCAGAGTAGCTGCACTCTGAGTGCTGTTTTTGGTCCTGTGAAACAAGCACTGACTGGTGGGACAGCATCGTTTTGCAGATATGGGATGATGAGCAGTGACCGCAGAACTTTCAAATGTGGAAGGCCACCTTCCAGGAACTTTGTGCAGAGCTTTCCCCTGCCCTGCAGTTCAGCAACACAAAAATGAGAGCCGCTCTGACAGTGGAGAAGTGAGTGGCAATCGCTATTTGGAAGCTTGCAACCCCAGACAGATACAAGTCAGTGGGGAATCAATTTGGAATTGGTAAATCAACTGTGGGAGCTGCTGTGCACCAAGTGTGCAGGGCCATAAATCGACTTCTGCTATGAAGGGTAGTGAGTCTGGGAAACGTGCAGGACATAGTGGATGGTTTTGCCGTGAGGGGGTTCCCTAATTGTGGTTGGGGCGATATCCCCATCTTGGCATCAGCCCACCTTGCCAGAGAGTACATGAACCAAAAGGGATACTTTTTTAATGGTGTTGCAAGCGCTGGTGGATCACAGGGGGCATTTCACCAACATCAACATAGGATGGTCAGGAAAGATGCACAACACGCGCATCTTTAGTAACTTGGGTCTGTTCAAAAAGCTGCAATCTTTCCAGACCACAAAATTAACATTGACTATGTTGAGATGCCTATAGTTATCCTGGGGGATCCAGCCTACCCCTTGCTCCCATGGCTCATGAAGCCATACACCGGCCCTCTGGACAGCAGTAAGGAACGGTTCAACTATAGGCTCAGCAAGTGCAGAATGGTGGTTGCATGTGCCTTTGGTCATTTGAAAGGGTGCTGGAGAAGTCTACTAACAAGGTTGGACCTTAGCGAGGAGAACATCCCCATGGTTATAGCTGCTTGCTGTGTGCTCCATAATATCGGGGGGGAGGGGCGGGAAAATTTTCCACAGGGGTGGGCAGTTGAGACAGATTGCATGGCAGCCATTTTTGAGTAGCCAGACACCAGGGCAATAAGTGCACAGCAAGGGACGCTGCATATCTGCAAGGCTTTGAAAAGCTGTTTCAATAATGAGTCACAGGAATGTGAGCTGCTTGTGTGCATTGTGCTTTCCCAAATCTTCACCTGCCTTGTATTACTGTCCCTGTAAAGCCAACCCCCTGCCCAAGCCCACTATTTATTCTTCTCAATAAAGAACATTTATTACTTGAATCCATTTACTTTATTTAACAAACATAAATAAAGAGGGAGAACAGAAAGAAAAGCTAACCTTGGGGAAAAGGGGTTGTACAGTTGGACCAGGAGAAACATTTTCAGCTGTGTAACATAACACCACATTCCAGACCATCAGAGGTCTGTGAATGGGTGCCTTCTGTTCCTTGTACCTTCCCCCCTCCCCGAGGCAAGTGAAAGGGATAATGGACTTTTTGCCCACGCCTCATGGAATGCCTGGGGGAGGGTGATTCTGCACCAGGCGATGCTGTCTGTCTGTCCACCAGGGTCTGCAGAGGGACTCTACCCTCCTGCTTCTGTTCCTGCAGTTCAACCAGATGCCTCAACATGTCTGCTTGGTCCCTCATAATCCAAAGCATCTCATCCTGTGCTGCACACACTCACTCATTGGAAGCTTTCCTGCTCTCCATGTCCATGTCTAACTTCTTGGACAGTGAAATCCTCCACGCTCTTAGCTCTGTCAGCCTTCCTGGAGGCGTTCATTATCTCTGTGAATATGTCCTCCCGCGTTCTTTCTCCTTCTAATCACACTGCTTTCAGGTGTTGATGACATGCCAAAGGACACATTTCCAGCTGTCGGGGAAAAAATAAAGGAGCCATTGTACATGAATAAAATTGTTTCCATAGCAAGGCTGTTTTAAAAAAACAAAACAAAAAAACACCCATATTATACTAGGTGCAAGCCATAACATAATCGGAATCCGTAACTGTTCACTGTGCTGTTTTGCTGCTCCAGCCACGGTGAGTGTGCCACCTCCGGGTCATTGGTGATCGCACTTTTAATTAAGTTTATGGCAGGTTTATGTCGGGAGCACAGGTAGCTAGTCGAACAATGCCCCCCCCCCCATAGCACCACGGGAAGCTGTTTACGAATGGGGCAGAGGGGAACGTTTTCACTCCCAAATTGTGGAATCTCTCATATGGGACCTCAGTCCTCTATCAGCCACTTTAAACTACTTGCCAACCCGTGCTGAGCACAGTAAAGGCACATTAGTGGCCGCATGGTTTGGTGATCTGGAATGTGGGGGCCAGGGTGGGTCTACATGCCCTTTTTTCCCCATGTAAGAGCACCTTTAATGAGAACTTCCCCCATTTCTCCTAGGCGACCCTATGTGATATCAGTCTCCTGAGGGTAACAGAGGTGGAAAGGAAGGAGATGCTGCAAGCGTCTGGGTATAGACCCGGGCCTTATGCTGCTATGCTGTGTCCTGCAATGATGCCAGCAGAATTAATTCAGGAGTTGCGCGGGAAAGTGTCCTACTATGGTGAAAGAAATAAGACTGCCCTGCCCAGAAACCTTCTGCAAAGGATTGAAGAGTACCTCCATGAAGGATTCCTGGGCTATCCCAGTCCACATAAATAGTCTTTTCGGGGGCCAGCCTCAGCATAGCTGGAATGGCCTCTTGTAAGCCGAGAACCACAGCACCTCGCTTGTTCTTCGGTGTTCTCAAAAAGTACATAGCGAACAATTGATCACCGTCATTATTATAGCCCTTAACTTATTTGAAGACTTATCAGGCCCCACAGTCTTCTCTCAAGACTAAACATCGCTATTTTTTTAACTTTTCCTCTCTCGGGCAGCAACTGCCTCCTCCTGCAGTGTGGCCCACTCTCCTGGGCCAGATCAGTCCTAGGTCTTTCCCCTGCTGGAGTAGCCCAAACAAAGTAAAGGCGAATTAACAAAACTTGGAGCCCATACGGGAAGGAGAGGGGAATGCTTCCCTCTTGGACTGTAGCAGGTCCTCCCTTCCCTCATGGAGAGACCTTTTGGGCAGTTCTCATGGAGAGAGATTCTGCCTTTCCCTCGGCTCACTGCTGGAGTTGCGGGTCTGCTCTCCTCCTTGGTCTGCCATCAAATGAGCTGCTCCCCTGCCTTTTAACTCCTCCTTCAGTTGAAGCATTTCCTACAGGCGTGGTGGGTGTGGCTGGCTGAGCCTAGAGCAGTTCTTAACCACTGGTTGCCCATGTAGAGTTTGTATACCCTGTCACAGGTGGCTGAAATTTTCATTTTATTGCTTTTGTTGGTTTGTTTGGGTATGTGGGTGTAGTAGCCCTAGCAGCTTCACAATGAAGACTTGGAGTATCAACTACATTATAGAAAAATAAAAATAGTTTACCTTTTTGGATATCCATGCTCCTTCTCACACAGGGTACTTTGTTTCAAGTATTCTGTTAATGCATATTTTAAAGGTAGGAGTTTCCTCCAAGAATTGTCAGTGCAGATTCCTACTTCTGGAATGCACATGGCCTCCTTGCTGCAAACTTATACTACAAGCACTTAAGCACATGCTGAACTTTCTGCATGTGAATACTCCTGTTGAAGTCGATCAGACTACTCTCATAAGCCGTGGCGGATTATCCAGTGGGCCAATGGGGCCCATGCCTGGGGGGCTCTGGAAAAATTGGCACCCTGCCCCCCAGCAGACATCTGCTGTGGGGCAGCAGAAGCCCCTGCTCCCCGGCAGGAGCCCCTGGCAGGGTGGGGGAAGCCCCAGCACTGGGACTTCCACTGTGGCCCCGGGATTGGAGGAGTTCTCGCTCCCTGCTGCTGCCTCAGGACTGGGGGAGTTCACTTCTCACTGTGGCCCTGGGGCTGTGGCAGGGGAGCAAAGCTTCTTTAGTCTTGGGCCCACAGTGGGGGTGGGCAGAAAGAAGCAAATGGATTGTGGGGCTGGAGTGGGTGGTTGGGAATGTGGGTGGAATAGGGGTGGGGCCATGGAGGAAGGGGCAGAATGGGGTGGGACCGCAGGCATAAAGGGGTTTGGAGGGGCCCCCCCACTTGCTCTGACCCAGGGCCGCAGGAAACCTTAATCCACATCTGCTCATAAATACAGTTTTGCATGTGCATAGGTCCTTAAAGATCCATAGATTTTAAAACCAGAAGGAACCATTGTTATCTTAAGAATTAGAGACTAATAGGTTGCATATTCTAAGACTGTTGAACTGCATAGTCAATACAGTTCAAGAACTCTAGTTACAAGTAACATTTTTTCCTTGGGTTTAATATAAATGAATCAGCATTAAAATACTTCAGTGTACAGAGTGTATTAAAAGATATATGAATGTTGTTTTATTAAAGTTTTTGATATTTACACTACCAGCAGAGCATAATGCTTTTCTTTTACTTTTCCCGTTTTTATATTAGCTTCATGGAGATTTCACAGTATCTTTTAGTGACGTGGTGGAAACCTGGAAATACTTGCTACATGATAAACTGGGATTGACATGTGAGAATATGGAAGCACCTGAAAATTATGCTGATATCAAAAAAGCTTATGACTCTTTCTTAAAGAGGAGTAATATGTTAGATCTAATTGATATCTGCCAGAAGTGTCATACATTAACACCTGAATCTGAAATTGAAGAGATGTCCCCTGTAAGTATGTCTCTTTATGTTTGAAATTGTGTAGCAATATGGTTAACTCCAGTTCAGAAATGCAATAATATTAAGATCTATTCAGAAGCCATGAATTGTTCATACCTGTTGCTTAGTTTTTCTGTGGGGAAGAAAGTTTAGTTTTGTAATTGCTAAATTGTTTTTAAAGAGTAAACTTTTGTGATTTAAACATTTCTCCCTACCCTCCTGTCTCATGGAAACCACAGTCCTTCTAAGGGTCAGGTAGTCTTTGGGGGGCAGAAAACTCACCTGACTGAAATGTAATAGGTGAGTGGCAGACACCACCAATTTGGTTGATTTAATGTACCCTCTCTACAAACATGCACATCATATACAATTTGAAAGCTTATTATGTCTACTTTAAGATGAGATATGATGTGGAATTGTCAAGTGGTGCTGTTATCATAGAAACGGGATAAACAATGACGCCATAGACACATTAAAAAGACCACTTTTAAATATTTGCTTTTGTTCCTGTTAATTTAATGACTCTGTATTATTTCAAGACATAAAATTGGATTTCTTTGTGACCTCAAAGCATCACAACAACAATCTAAAGGGTATTGCAAAATCTAGTAATTGATACAAGTATCATTTAAATGTAATAGCTCTGGTGACTTCTAGTCAACATCATTATCATCTTAGTCACCATTATCTCTGAGAGTGGATGGGTGTGACCCTAAGAGCCCCTCAATGCCCATTGCTAAAGGATTCAATGTCACATAACAGCTACTCCTGTCAAGCCTGACAAACTCATTACACCTAACACATTTGTCACAATATTTATCTATAAAGAATGTTGTGTAAGATATCAAGTGAAAGCTGGTGACATATTAGTCATTAATATTATTATGAAATGTATGCATTAATACCGTATAAGGAATTAGACACTTTTACTGTTATGCTTTAAAGTCTGCAACGAGACAAAGGGAGAAACAGGTTTTCTTCCATAAAAGAGGGAGGATAGTTATCTTCCTATCTCCAATAAAAATTGAGCATGGTGATGGAAGAGAGAATAGGCGGTTCATTTGCATCCTCGATACACGGGAGGAACAAATTAACATGAGGATGTGAAATCAGTATGGGAAGACACTGGAATCTGAACTCCAGGGGTTCATCCTGACTCTGATGACACAATCAATAAACTTTGAGGATATGAGGAGAAGCAAAAAGACATTTTACTTATCCATCACTCGGGGAACAAAGAGGTCAATGCTCTTTGCATTCATGAACAGTGGATCCCCAGTCATGTGGGTTGCATGATGCTAAGAAGTGGCTGTAGATGAGAAAACTGCATTAGACAAGGATTGTAGCCTGTTGAGTTGACTTTTAGTCCCTAGAAAGTGTGATTATACTTTTATTTGTAACCATAATCTGTTTCTATGATCTCTGATAGTATCCCCTAAATCTCTGTTCTTTATTAATAAACTTATTCTTGTTTTATTATAAATTCATCTTAGTGCTGTTTTAAAGTGAGGTGTGCATTCTCAGCTGAGACCACAGGCTGATGTGTATTGTTTCTTTGTAAACAATAGATTTGTGAGTGTACAGTAACAGGGCTGGATACTGCAGAGGAATGCTCTTCCAGGGGGTTCAGGAACTGCAAGGCAGTGTTCAGGAAGTGTTACCTGCAAGGCAAGTAAGGGCTGACAAGAGTTCTGGTAACAGACTGGGGTGATAGGGAGCTGTCACACAGTTTAGCACCAACAAATTCCTTTTATGCTGTGGCAGAGGAGTAACAGGGTGATTTACAGTTGTGGACACACCAAGAAAGCATCACAGTGGGTTACCACAGTCTTCGCTGCCTTGGCATGTACACTTCTGTGCAGGGAATATTGTCTGTAGGCAACACACAGTTCACTGTGCAGCGACCCCTACTGGTAGAGGCACAAATAAGATCTTGAAGACACTCAGATGCCTTTGCACTCTTGAATACAGAAAGTTGTTCGTCATCCACATTTTTCCATCTATGTTGCAGTGGTGATCCAATTTCTGGTTTACCTGTGTGCTAAGACATCTAAATCTTTGTTTGCCAAGATGCTCTTTTGATATGCTCTTCAAAACTGTCCTCACATGATGATGGAGTTTGGCCTGTGGCTTGTCCTTTTTGATAGCTAGATTGAGTCGTAAGTAAATCAGGTGTCTGTGGATCTTTTGTTTTGTTTGTTTTTTTCTTGGTCTGGTTGTACAGCACTGCTACCAACTTCTTGCTACAGAAGTTGTGCCGTGTCTATCACTCTCTTCCAATTTGGCAAGATCTCTGAAGCAGTAAGATCTCTTTGTTTTGATAACATTAAACACCGATTTTTTTCGCTTCCAATACCAAATAGGGATGACAGTCACACCCTTTTAATGCGTGTACAGCAGGAAGTATGTTGCAGAAGTCAAGAGAGTGCATTACAAATTGCACATGCAGGTATGAAGTGACACCTCAGTTGTGCTGGTAATGGTGCCTGCTTCAATCCACATTTTATCTATTTGTGTTCCATTTTTTGGAAGGTAATGAACAGCAAGGTCTAAAACATCTATACCAGGTTACCTAATTCTATGGTTCCTTTGGCATTAAGAGATCCAGAAGCCATGTTGGCACATATAGTACGCAGAAGCATTTTTGTGTCTGCTTCCTCTTGAGTACTGTATGAGTGTTGAGCTTCTTCAACATCTCTACCGGTGATGGACTTTGCTACTTCACCACTGGAAAAGCCTGCAGTAAGAAGGAGCGTTTGTGTTGGGTGTGCTCCTACACTTTCAGGTGCATCTTGAACCATGCATTCACCAAGGAATTTTACAAGTGACTGCTTCTTGGATGCCACATTTAGAAATTTTTTCCATGGAGGCACAGGGCATCCACCAATCACCGGGTATTTCTTGCATCCCACCTTAGATGCCGTCCAGCGCTGTCTTTCTGCAGTTTTCAAGGAGTTATTGTTGTCACATCTGCCAAAGAATTAGCTTTGTCAGATCCCTTTAGGACCTGCCTCAAGTGTTCAGCAGCCAGTTCACTGTATGTGTGGAATTCGTCTCCAGACATTGTTTGTATGACAGCCATGGTATATCTGATGTACACTGTGGTTCTTCAAGTGATTGCTCCTGTGTATTCCACAGTAGGTGTGCGTGCTCGCCACGTGTACCGGTGCCGGAAGTTTTTCCCTTAGCAGTACCCGTAGTGGGGGAGCACCGCTGTGACCCCTGGAGTAGTGCCTCTATATCACGCTATAAGGGGAGCTGCGCACTCCCCCCACCCTCAGTTCCTTCTTGCCGCCAGTGAAGGTAGTTGGAACTTAGTGCTTCAGCTCTGCTGCAGCACTGCAAACCTTAGTAGTACAACTCTTCTTAGTAGTCCGAATTTCTAGTTAGTTGCCTGGCTCGGGGCATGCCCCGTGCCCCAGGCTTCAACCGTGCGACTCCTGTCGCAGTTCTATGCCCAGAAGCAATCCACACACTCAGTGTATTCGCTGTCTGGGCGAGACTCACGTAAGTGAGCGTTGTAAAATCTGCAGGTCGTTTAAACCAACAATGAAATGCGAACGAGATATCTGTCTCCGGGCCTTACTAATGGAGTCAGCATTGGCACCGGACCACCGACCCGATCTGGTGCCAGGCGTGTCGTTGGTGCGCAGCGACGCCCCATCAACTAGTCGGCACTGCTCCCCCGCTAAGAAGCAAGGGAAGACTCAGCGGCGCCGAGAAAAGGACAGGGGTGAGGCCGCACCTGAGTTGGGCAGCCCACGATCCCCCTTGGGACCCAGACCTCCGACTCGTGCTGAGCAGAGTAGTCCGGTCCCATCCGCGCGTGCCTCCCCTGCGGAGAGGATACTGTCGATTCTGGCGGCAGCGCACGCAGTGCTTGCCCTTCCAGTGCTGAGTGCGCTGCCTGAGATGAGCCCTCGTCCAGAGGGAAGCCGCCGCTGGGAGCTCATCGACCCTCCCCGGTTCGGCATAGACCCCGCTCCGAGGATGAGGTGCCTACCCATTCTGCGGGGCCATCTCGTAGTCTGCGTCAGACACCCACGCCGTTGGCTGACTCGCCTGAGAGGGAGTCCCGAGGATCCTCCGCTACCAAGAGGGGTCGCAGGCACTGAGGCAACAGGCGTCGACGCTCCTCTTCCTACAGGACTTATAGGAGCAGGTCTCGACACCATCGGCACCGACGCTCAGACTCGAGTGATGGCTCTGACAGGCGTTGTTTGCAAAGCACCCCTCGGCCGTCATCGGCACCTAGCTGTTGTAGCCACGGTCGCCGGGCTGAATCTGGAAGCAGTACCTCTGATGGGTACAGGTCTTCCTCGTAGAGATCTAAATCTTGAGTCCGGCACTGACGCGGCCGTGGATGCTCCCGTTGCTCGTTTGGCACCGTGCAGTCTTCAGCGATGTCGGCCTCGGCACCCAGCCGCCCATCCCCGGGCCACGCCACCCCGCACGATCAAGCGGCTCCGTTAGGTCCCCAAGTGGGGCACTGGCAAGGTGCACCCTGGCAAGGGCAATGCTGTCAGTGGGCACCTTGGCCCCAACTGCCGGCACCGACGAGACCCGATTCGGTGGCCGGAGCATTGCAGGTGCATTCAACGTCCCCGCCTCGACACCGGGAGAAGTCAGTCGGTACCGAGGCAGCGGTACTGCACCCGGGCTCGGACTCGGGGGTTGAACCACCGGTACCACCTGATGCCCTGGGGGCAGATCCGGTCCCTTCACCGGCACCGGAGGAATCCATTGCAGTGCCACCACCTGCCTTACAGGAAAATTTTAAGGCTCACCAGGAGCTCCTTAAGCAGGTCAACTCCAATCTCCAGCTCCAGGCTGAAGAGATGGAGGAGCCGTAGGACACGTTGTTCAACGTTTGGTCCTCTTTGTCACCGGGCTGTGTGGCCCTACCTCTCCACCAACGGGTGGCCAATATCTCCACGTCGCTTTGGCAAACCCCGGCGTCCTTGGCGCCTATTTCAAAAAAGGCGGAGAGAAAGTACTTTGTGCCAGCAAAG